CGTTCGGTTGAATGGAAATTCTTCCTTCTCGCGCGTACCTGAATTTTAACGGAATGAGAGGCGATTTGTCTCCGCTCGTCTCGGAAGACTCCCGTTCTGCTCGTATTCTGCAAATAAATCCAATCAGATCTGAATTTCTATGTTCTACTATGATTAATTCACTTCACTTCATTCTGCGCGTTCTAAAATTAAAACGCAATATTAGTTGCTTTCTTCTCCGAACTTTGTTCTTCTGGCTTTTGATAACGAGTTCAATAGATCGCATTGATAATGTCAAGAAATCAGAAATGATGGAAGCCACTGACAAGATTAATTTTTGAGTTGAATTGAGTTACGCATATATTTCAACGTTAAAAGAAATCATCAAATTTATCGAATTCGTGAGAGTTGAATGAGCGCCAATAATTGCATTCGTCTTGCTTATCGTACGTTTTCGTTCCGACAAGATGCTGATGGTGCAATTTTAAAGAAATTACGCATTTATTATTTCATGCATGAGATGACCGCGATCACTTGCAATTTGCTGCTTTTCATGTCGGACGATACTATCGCGACAATATTTTTCTTTGAGGAAGTAATCTCTTGAAGAGGACGCGATTACGCGGCATAAAGACTTGGAAATCTTCCCTTCCAATCTTGAAATGCAAGAAAATCCTTCGTCTGAACTGATTTCATTCTGCGCTTGCCCTCGACGAGTGTTCTGAAATGATCTCGATAGTAGGATCAAACTTTCTTTTTACGATTTTAATGAAGAATAACATTTTATTCATGAGTAATAACTCTTCTTGTACCACACAAATAAATATTGCATGTTAGTAAAATTTTAGTTGGATGATTTATTTGAAGAATCACTATTCAGTTCAGAGTATAAATTATTCGTATTTCATAAATTTTTATTTAAATAGATATTTAATTATTCTATTTAAATGTAAAATTATTTTGTGTGATACATTTGGAAAATGCAAAATATTTAATTTAGGAAGGTATATAAAAAATTGTCATTGTATTTGTTAATTATTCGTCAAATCAGATTTATCAGAATCATTATATAATTAGTGTTTTTATATCAAGAGCTTTAAAGGATGTTTTAAAATTGCCGACGGTAAATAAAATAGAAATAAATGCCGAATAATGCGAATAACGTAATAATAAATGATAAATGATGCCAATAACGAATTGAATTCTAATCGCGAATAAAAATTCATTGTTGGTAATATTTGACTTCGATCCGGGCAGAGAATTTCTGGGAAAGCCCACGTTGACGGCGCGGCGGCTGGCTGCTGCGGATATCGATCGGTCCGGGATAGTCGCAGCGTCTCTTTAAGTCATCCGGCGGGGTGTGGTTGGGGAGGGGGGGAGGGCCCGCACCGATGGCCCACCCACGCACCCACCGCCCCTGGCAACCCCCGTCGTTACCCGCCCACGCATGCTGCAGCCTCCTCCGGCCGCGACGCGCACACTCTTCCCTCGTGTCCTCCGTAGGATCATCCGTCGTTCTAGTATCCACATCCTTGCGCGATTTCAGACGATCGGCAACGGCAATTTTCAGATACGCGCGTTTACTCTTTCTTTTTTTTTTTTTTTTTCTACCGGAACATTATTTATTTGCGACTTACAATTGTGAAACCGGGCGCTTGTCGGAAAGGGTGATTTTCGTTCGGTGCATCTTGCATAAGCAATTTTTGAAAACTTGTAAGTTCTCAGTAAGTTGAGCTTTCGTCTTGTGTATCTTTACACTCGAGTGTACTTTCTTCACAGGCAAAAGCGAAGCTTTCTCTAAACTTCACCGTGCTTTGTAGGAGCTTTCGCGTTCTTTAGTTATTCTGAAACTTGTCTTACGGGATCTATACTGGAACAAAAGTGTTTTTGTATTATAATATTTGAAATCTTTATTGAAGCGTATAATAATGTGGTTCGCAGTTATTCAAACGTTTCACTTTTGCTCATTTCAAGCTAATAATTTTTATTCATAAAAAAATTACCACAGCGATAACGATAAGATAGCAATGCTATTCGACATTTATCGATAAGTGCGCATAATTAAAATATTTTTAAATGTATGTTAGGTAAAGGTTCTTTCGACATTTAGTTGTTCAAGCATGTATTAAATATATTCAAGTTAATAATATTATATAGGTATTCTGAAGTGCATCTGAACTTTATCAATTAACGAACTTTTTTTTGACCCATTTTATAAGTATATTTAAATTATCTCGCATCGTTAATCGCGCTGGCTCTTTGGATATTTTTAAATAATATTTTTGCATAATTGCATTATAGCGCAACCTGTTATTCTCTATTTAATTTTTCTTGGAGCGCAGTTCAGATTTTACTTTATCCGCACCAATTACTCGTTCATCCACAAAGAGCTTTTATAAAAATGGGAAGAAACTGGTGGCGTTGTCTGCATTATGACTGTATCCCCCCGCCAACAATACTTTCCGATACTCCGCGCCGTCGCCGAAGTTTCCCTCGCGCCTAATGGGTTTATCTGGTGATCGCCGGAGTTCCGCAAAACTCGTTAAACTCGATATTTGCTTCGCCGAAGCGCGACGCCTCGAATGGCGGCGCCGCGATAGATAGATAATAATTCCTCTTCTCTCTCTCTCTCTCTCTCTCTCTCTCCTCTCTCGCATCTCACGATATACAAAAGCCGACAAGACGACGTCCGATCGTCTCTCTCTTAATTCTTGTATTCTCCTTTGTTCGCGCGTTTTTCATCAAGTTTTCCACGCCGATGACGATGAGCTTGCGAGAGCTATCGATTTCTCGCCGAAGGAGCCTCTTCTTGGCGTCGCTATTTTTCTTCCTGCGGCAGCGGCATGTCAAGTCCGCCGATGGATACGCAGAAAGAGGAGGCTTTAAGAATATTCCGGAGAAGTAACTTGCATTCGCCGGCTAAATGTGCTCCGAGATAATGAACGGGTCATCTAACGGGGCTATCTTCACCCGTCTTTCATGTTCTCGATATTTCGCGCTGTCGGCGTGATATATTGCGCGACAACCCCGCCGATTCACCCTGAAATTTTTCCGTTCGCAATTTCGCTTAATCTTCCAGAGCGTATTCAACTGATGACTCGCGATTTAATATTTTACTTACCAATTTCCGGCGCTGATTCTCGTAATTCGAATTAAACTCGTAAAATTAGATACGCTAATGTAATCGCAATCGAAAGTTCCAAATTATTTGACAAGCAGGTTAATATTTTTATTTAATTAAAGTGAATATTTTTTATTAGAATGAATATAAAAGTAGAAGAATTTTAGAATTTTTTTATATTTGTAACTTGAAATATATTTACGTAATTTCGCTTGCGTTACGTCAAATATTTTATCCTCAATCGGTACCTGCAATTAGAAAGTTTAGAAAAATTGTCAGTTAATTTTAAACGGTCTTTTTATAAATGCACGCTACATTTCTCAACAAAATGTCATGCGTTTTTTTACCATTAGTATTTATAAGACGAGCGGGTCAATTTTCTTGCGACTCCACCGACCATTATCGTCAGCCCGCATGACTGATCAGTTCTTACTACACTGTCAAAGAATGTAGCAAGAACCGGGCGTATGTTCCATCTCGCTGTGACTATTGTATGCAAACGGTACGACACAGTCTCGAGACAGCTCAAGAAATCCGATAGAGAGAGAGAAAGAGCGAGAGAGAGAGAGAGAGAGAGAGAGAAGAAGAGAGAGAGAGAGAGAGAGAGAGCCGTCGCCTGTCGTTGTTTTGGAAACTCGTCGTGTGCTGTGTTACGAAGATTTATAGGTATCCCGATATTAAATCGCAAATGTAATTTACGAGGCTTTCCCCTCACGGCTGGCCGGCAGCTGCTACCTATGGACCAGCGTGCCGATGCGAATCGTTCTGTATAAAAATGTAGCGTTTTAATATCTTTCCGCCTGCATTCGCGCGCGGCCGTGAATAAAAATTCGGAGCGTCCCGGTAACACGCCCCTCGACTTATCTCGTTCGCGATTTCAATGAAATATTTCCGCGCTTCTGGAAATGAGTAGTATTTTATTGAGATAGCACCGCTATTTAAGAAGGGAAAAAAAATTTGCACCGCTTCCAATAATAAAAAAGTGCTGTTATTAATGTTACTTTTTCTCGTCTGTTTTGCACTTTGTGTAATGTAGCTTTACTAAAAGATGTTTCCTGTCAAAACGGAGATAAATAAAATATTAGAGAGAATACCGACATGCTATTTCTCTGAAAGCGTTTCATATTTCTATAAATGTCTAAAATCGATAACAATCGCCATTACTGATCCGTTTGAAACAGATTAGCTTCATTGGAATTCAGCCCAAGAACAGTTAGAGATGTTATTTCAAGCATGAACGGAAGTCTTTCGGAGTCGTTCAAGTATGCTCGAAATGAGTTTCACATATTCTCACAAAATTAAATGTGTGTGTGTGTGTGTGTGTGTGTGTGCGTGAATCGCTATATCACACGCATAACGGAATACTCGATATCGATTCTGTGTTGCTCGTTGAAAACCGGGGATCGCGTGTGCGAATGAATCTAATTTCCATTCCATGGACGCGGACATGTGGCCGACAACATGAATGTTGTCTTATTACGGCTGTGAATTATCCGCCGCGATAAAGTCGCGCGATTTGCAGCTACTTTAGAAATTCGAAATTTCGATTGTACGTTTCAATTATTTGCCGGTTTACACGGTTATTTTGTAATTTAGCGTCCTAGTTAAGTTTGCAAGCTACTGCACACGCGAATAATAAATTACGTTTTTGAATGCCGTAACGTGACGCAAATGTGTAATGTATATGAATAATATATAAAATAATAATACGCAGAATGGAATAAAAACAATGAAATAAAAATCGAAGAAATGCGTGAAACGTAATTTCAAATATTGTAAAAATTTCGTCGAATTTATTCAGAAATTTATATAAAAACCGACAGAATTTTTGCAATGTATTATATATATTTACATACTAACCAACTGTAACTAACCAAAAATATTTTTCTTTCTGTTTTAGGTAAGTACTTCATCTGCTGATTTATCTACAACATACAATAACGTAAGTCAAATATACTCTTTAACATTTAATTTTAATGCATTTGAAGTAAGAAATAGAAATTCTTTTCGAGTTTCTTTAAGATGCAATCGGTAGGATTAGATTATTTTCTTCACGAAATCTGCTTCACATTTGTTAACATCGATTGATAATCGTACAATGTACAATAGATACTGTCTTGTAAATAATTCAGTATCTCAAACATATTTTGAAATATAGAATTCTATAAGAAAATAAGAATTCTAGATAAGATAAAAGTACATGACTGTTTGCCTGGGGTAAAAGATAAAAAATACATTTTTATCGTTACTATTACTTATCAAAACAATTTAGCCGTAAAATTTTTTTCCTTTAAGAATTTAATTACCTAATATTATCTCGAATCAATTTATGGTTTATGAAAATATAATTAAAAAGAGAAAGAAGATATTAAATGACATTAAAATCCAATTTTATATCAATTAGTTTGATTTGTGATATACTTATATTAGAGATAAACGGAATATTACAATTAGCATCTACTTATGATTTTGAATAGAACTTTATCTCACGAAGAGAATATCACATGAAGATAATATTTTTATATCTATGCAATTATTTATTTACTTAGTAAAAAATAGTAAAAAAAGTCTCGCATAAAAATTATTTTTTAAAATTTGTATTTTTTTAAATTCGTATTTTTATCTTTTAATTGAATATTTTTTAATGAATATTTTTTATAACAGCTTTTTTGCAAAAATATCTTTTTATTTTTTATTTAATATTTAATACACAAAATATTAACTTTATTGATATTTATAATAATATTATTATTTCATTTTTGTGACCATTTGACCGGACATTGTGTTATTTAATTGTTTTAATTACATGTTCAAGTTTGTTATTTTTATTATTTGATAGGAAACATATTTTCGGCTCTGCGTCGGTCTCATATTTTTCCTATAATATCACTTTGGCATATACATATATCAAAGTTCTAAGTCACAAACTTTAAAAGTCATTCAAAAGTGGAAAAGTTCCGTAAGATTTAATCTCCAAGCACAAAATTATCACGAATACTCTTTTTAACGTTTCTGTTGAATTTAAATGGAAAGTTGAGCGCGTATCAAAGCTTTCACGCCTAGTTATAGGAGCGCGATGCGATGTATAGAATGGAAAGCTGAGCGAGCATACCGCAATACGAACCCCGGCGGTTTAACATGATGCTCCGCACATCTTGCAGGCCCGCGTTTGTGGGCCTGCTGGAATGGCGCGTGAATTTCGCGGATATGCGCGCGCGCATTGCAATATCAAACGGAAACTCTCGCTCGTCGACTCGCACAAAGCCTTTACTGTATCATCCGGTAATGGGAATGTCAATTGCGCGCGCCTACGCCATTTCTCCCCTAACACGTGTCTGCTTTGCACACGATTTCTGTCCGCGTTTTCTGCCGTTTTCGCGATCATTCTCGCGTATCACGAACTTTATCCTCAAAATGGATATCCGCGAGTATCGGTGGAATTTAGAGTCGCGCTCTAAATCCCGCATTGGCGTTAATGTCACGTCCTACGTAATACTATGCCCCTTTTCAGTTTAATTGATACAATTGCTCCGACCCACGATCGCGGTAATATCATGGCTCGTGGCAATATCATGGCTCGCATGCTTGACAAACACGTAATGTAAATATAGCGTCGGTTCAAAATAGAAAGCGTAGAAATGTAAAATGGAAATGTAGGAAACTGTATAAAATATAAGAAAAATACGTAAAAGAAAAATGCGAATCAAACTGTGACACGTCCATTGTATCGCTCAATGGCGTCGATTATTTATTCAGCCACTTTTTCTACTTTCAAGTTCTTATTGAGAATTGGGTTAACGTCTATTAGGAACATTTCATTTGGATGCAAAACTCTTATTATATTTTTATGACTTAAGATGACAGAATATTGCTATCGCGTGAATTAAGTATTAAAATCAAGAAAAGAGGTGAGAGAGAAACGTGGGATAAAATTAACGAAAAAGTCCAAAGAAGGAAGCGCGCAGGCGTATCTTCGAATAATTTACCAAGGGTCAAGTTTGAATTTTTAAAGACGTTTTTTTTTCTTAACGACGTTTTATTTTCGCTGCAGCTTGACCCAATTAAAGATTCGAGTCTAAAGCACGAGAGACGACACGATGGGATTAGCTCGTGTATCCAGTTTCGTTTGTCGTGCGCGCCACCGGCGTCGCATATTACGATTCTCCTCTGCAACCCGTGGTTCGACTGAATATTTAGAGCAAAGCTAATACATAATTTCACAGCTGACATCCTCGCGCGCGATTAAAGGGTGCACCTTGCTCGCGATAATGCGGTTTCGGCGTGTCGCGCGATCATAAGGCCGTAATATTGAAATTTGCGCTTGCATCCCGCTTTACGTCAAATAGAGATCCTTCCGGTGTTGCGCGCAAAGGCCCCTCTTTATTATACATTCTAACGGGAACGTCAATTATTCGCCGATGAAATCTCTGCGTACTTGACGGGGGCGCATCTGTTTAAATTGTGTGTCTGTTTGCATTTCGGTATCACCGGAGAGAATTTCTGTTCAACCGGCGGATACATCGGCATTCCTGAATTTTTTTTCGCGCAATCAATTCCGATTATTCGAGATTGGAAGCAAAACAATTTTTTTTTATTACGTGTAACGATTTACATCGTTGCGGAATCGGCAAACTGGTTTCTGGGTTCAACATACTTATTATTAGTTTGTTTTTTTTATAGCAATTCGTAGAATTAATCGATTTTATTTTTTTTCATCAATTTCCGTCCGAAATTGGTGGACAAATAGACTTTGCCTATTGCGCAATGTTTCGCAATAGGAATCAATCAATGCCGCAATGATTACAGAACTAATAGTATTAACGCCGTGCATAATCAGTGCGCAGTGTTCGTTAGCTTCAACGCAAAATCACAATTGCTATGTATTTTAATAAGCCCGCGTTGCGCTGCGAGATTATTTGGTAATCTCGTTATCTTAGATATATGAATATTTCATTGAATCTATGAGCATTGCTCTAATGAGTCGCCAGGTGTTTGTGGCCACCAAACTTAATTTATTGATCGTTTATTAACACAACACGTTGTACGCACACACGCGTTACACGAGTCCGATTGACCTCATTCAAAATCAGATATATCGCGTGTCCGAAATACAAGCTGCACGTTTTGATTTCACGTTGCACGATCGAAATGTTATAACTGTCACAACTCCGCGATTAACGTATACCTTTTATTGGACACGCAATTTGTAACATCAATATAAATGGAAACACGATACAGTAATATAATACGTGGACCAGTATATTATGCAATAATAAATAACATTAATGATATCAAGTGATGAAATAATTACTGAATATCAAAACGATTCTTTCGCGGAAAATCTTTAATCCGATCCTCTTTAAACTCATTTTTACAACGTCAACATTTTAAAAAATAAATAAGCATTTGCGCTTGTAGGTATCGCGCCGCGGAGATGTAACGAATCGGCGGCGGCGGCGCGATGTTTATTTCGGGATTTGTTTTAATTAGTACACCGCAATTGCCTTATCTCTCGCTCGCCGTTTTCCGTACTTGGGGGATAACTTGCTCTCGGAATTGCAATTAAAGCCTTGCACTGTCTGCCGATTAAGGTCGATTTGTATTCAAGTGGCGGTAATGAAACAATAATGCCGTTTCGAGATAACCGTTCCATCCACATTCCTTGGTCTGCCGCTGTTGTCATTATCATCTATTGTCATTACCCTCCTCCCGGCGTTCTTCTCGTCGTGCCAGTACGTGATCTCACGTGAGATTCATTATCCAATCCGTCGCGGATGTAGTCCGTCGCTGCACTCAGATCCGTAATTTTTCACTTCTACCGTATTATGCTCAGCGTGCAATTTAACGCTCTCGTTCTAACGGCAATTGCACAAGCGCACGTTATTACGATAAGCCTGCACGTTATTATTGTCACAGTTAGTTCTAAAAGCGTTGCATGTCTGAAGAGTATCAAAATGAACGGTCTCTTTGTGACGATCCATACTTTGTACCACAAATTTTCAAAGATATTTAAAAAATATTTTAAAAGATATACCATATATATATAAGATTTATTACAGAGTTTTTAATATTTCGTAAAAGTCACAAGCGCTACTTTAGTTTTCTTTTTATTTAGAGAAAGTATTATGTTCCATATACTTGCGTTTAAAAATACAATGCAATTTTGTCGAAATTCTATTGAACTTCCACCTGCTTTTGAACTGTGGTAAAAATATCCGTTAACGTTTTTTAAACTTTTGATTTTGGAATTTATTCTTGAAGTTAGTTCGTTGTGTCAGAACTCTTTGTTCGCCGTTCTGAGCACACAAAATCTGACCTGCGATCCCTGATGGTATGCCAGGTACCGTGACCCTGGAATTAAGTCGTTCTTCCCGAAGAAACCCGTTCATCAGGGCAGTCCTTTCGACTTGGATTGTGAGAATACGTGAGTGCTTGCGTGCCAGTAAAGTCGGCCCAGAAATTCCTGTGTGATGAATTCGATGAGTACATTGCAATCAGGACGATACTTTAAATTTTATCGCATTTTAAATGCACTTTCTTGCTCTAACGTCTGAAAGATTTAGTTTTTAACATAAAATTTTTCTCTTTTAAGAAGAAAAAAACTTTATTTATTTTATGAAAACTTAATTCTCAGAAGCCTGAGTACTTTTCGAAAGACATTTTTTTAATGCTTATAAAGTGAGCTATGATTATAATGCTTTTTTATTATCACGAAATTTCTTCATGCCATAAAATTTTAGTAGGATGTTATAGCTGGTCATTTATGTTATGATCTCACTGGTAGTCTGATGTCACTAACAGAGACTATTAAGTAGAGCACAAAGAGGATGGTGCACATGTCATAATGTGTCTAAGAAAATTAATAGATGACGCGAATGCAGCCTTCGGCTGCATTCGCGCGCAACGTAAAGTTTCTGTTATAAATTGTACGGAGATTCACAT